TAGACTATACACTTTCCTGTATTATAACGACCATTTTCGCGATGCCTCGTATTAGAATAAGAAATGATTATTTATCATGCAGTGCCAAGAAGCTGCAACGTGAACGGGATATGCTTGCGAGGCAGATGCAGAAGCAGCTCACAGCAGAGGAAAGGGAGCACCTGTACACCAAATGGGGCATTTCACTGGACTCCAAGAAGAGGAAGCTCCAGGTTGCTCGCCGGCTCTGGACCAAGACCGAGGACCTGGAACACGTCAGGGAGAGCGCCTCCCTTGTTGCCAAGCTGATCGGGCTCCAGGAGCCAGGGCAAGTCCTCAGGGAGATGTTCGGACTCAGCTTTGCGCCGCAGCAGCAGCCGCCCCCTCGCAGGCGATCCTCCAATGGCTGGAGATATGGGATCCCTTCGTTCGGCTGATCGGATGAACCACTACTTACAACAATGACACGGTGCGAGCAAAGAGATGTAACTACCCTCCCCCCTTTTTTTTAATCTTGGTGTTGTGTGGTGTACCTTGGTTCTGATTTCTGTAGTTTTTTAGGAAGATGTCCACCGGGCCATTTGTTTGTGCGGCTGGCTTCGTGCATGCCTTTCTGCCTAGCCGCCGCCGATTAGGCCTCAATTGCTGATGACATCGTCCTATCCTATGGCTACGACCGTAATTGCAATTCCTGACCCTTTGTGTTATCATTGACGTGCGCTGCAATAGTGCAATAGTAATAGTAATCTGATGTTCCATGCCATCATGAAAAAAAATCACTGGGACAGTCCCTATGGCTAACCATGGTCATCTACTGTGAACTCATGATATGCGTCTATCCGCATATTGAATTATTGCATAAATTTAGAAGTAATAGTTGGAACCTATCTATTTTACGAGTTTCAAATGATATGTGTATATGCCGGATTCGTGATATAGTATCTGCAATTGTCTCATGATGGTAAAACTTTGGACCTCGTCATTGTCGCACAAGCTGCAAATAAGAAAGATATATTAGAAAAAATATAGGAACTAGATCATGCGTTTTGATACTATTTTACCTATTTAGTACTTTTCACCACCTTTCCCTTGGTACCTTCAATTTTTTTCACTATTCAATACATCTGTCTATATTTGTTGCACTCTCACGATGTACGGTCCATATTTATCGCATTCTCCTGATATATGGTTAATATTTATTGCACAAGCTGCAAATAAGATAGTTACTCATCCCACACATTTTGATACTATCTTTACCTATTTAGTATTTTTCAGTGTCTTTTCCTTAGCACCTCCTATTTTTTCAATATTCAATCTCTTCTGATATATGGTCTATGTTTTTTATCAACTACTATAAAAATTAATACCTCCTATTTTTTCACTATTCGATCCCTCCCGTTATATATAGTTTATGCTTGTCTCAACCACTACAAAAAAAAAACTTCTAGCAAATTGGATCACAAAGGAAAATTGAGATGGAGGCAGATGGGGTGCATAGTGTGGGGCGCTCTGGAGTACTACGATCTAGGAACAATCTCTCTCTCTCTCTCTCTCTCTTGAGATTGTTCTAAGAACAATTTCGTTCCTTGTTCCGAGAACAATTACAGTTCTTAAAAAAAATATAATATAAAAAAACTTTCTAAAAAAATACCATACCATGCTTCTTGTCCCTGTCGTTCAAGGAAAGTGGCTGATAAAGGGTTCACCGAGACGCTCATTGCGGGCTTTCCGGCTTTGTGCTCATATTTCGTGAGCATTATCAACAATTCATACTTCAGAATTAGTGACTGAGCCATGAATGAAACATGGAACGTTGTACGCATATATGATAATTGAAGCATTCTGTTCCTAACACAGACACGCAACCGCAGAGCATGGCTCAGACCCCAGAAGCAGGAAGCCGGACGTCGTAGAAGCGGCGCTGGCGCACTGCGGGAAAGCGTCGGCGGCCAGAGAGGGAACAACTCCAGCCTCCAGGTCGAGGACGAGGAGAAGCACGCGCAGGAGCGGCAGGCCGGCAGCCGCTTTCCATCCCCGCCGGTGCCCAATGCGGTGCTGCCCGGGCCCATGCATGGCCTCGAATCCCCTCCTGTCCTCGGTTCGTTTGCTGGTCCCCCACGGCCGGCAGGCGGCAGCCATGAGCCCCGGCCGCCGCGGTGATAATGAGCTCACGCTGTCACGCCTTTGCTGCGCCCAAAGTTATTTAAAAGCCGCATGCGCGTATGGCCATGCATTTCCAGTTTTTCACCGTCTGATGTGCACTTGTGCTGTGTTGGGTGGGGCTGTGCCTGCGCGTGCTCTCGCGAGCAGGAGTCACGAGTCTACAGAACATCTTAGTTCACCGTTGGTACAAGATTGCTATGAGAAATAGCTTCGTGGTCCAGGGACGCGGGGAGCAGAGACGTGGATTGGTTCGTCCCCGTCCCACGAAATCCGAGGGAGAGAGCTTTTCCGCATTTCATTTGTCTACAGGAACAAACTTTTTTCATCCCCATCCTCTAACAATGGAATTTTCCGCGGTGAATTGGATATGGGTCTCTATTGCCATCTCTATCCATAACTCATGGCTCAACCAAACATACCCTAAATACATTGAACCTAGTATGCTTCGATATGTTATCTCTATCATCGTACCGTCCACCTCGTCCCATTTTAACCATGACATATTCTCGCTCCCATTGTCGACCATCCTGCACCGTATGATCATAACGTTATTGCTGTTGTTGCCTACTACACGCCACCACTGTCACCATTTCTCTTGTCCTTATCCCCAGCCCAAAGCCCGAAATCCATAATCACAAAATATGAACCCTAACCTTAATAGTTTGCTCGGGGTCATTGTTCGCCTTGAGAGGGTTGAGACCGTATTTATCTTAGCACGATGCGGGGAGGCAGATGACCGAGAGAATTGAGGAGGAGAGGACACTCTTGAGTAGCATGAGGAGGAAGTCGAATGTTTCTGTAGTGTCTATTAGGCCCCCTTTAGAACAAAGAATTTACACAAAGCATTTCAGAACAAAGGAAAGCTAAGGAAGATGGCTTTAAAAAAATGTAGAAAAAACATAGAAACAAAACATTGAGATTGGAGCTCATATTTAGTTTTCTCTAAAATTCCTTTAGAATGATCCAGACCATAGGAATCTCAAAGAATATATTTAGAATTACTCTTTTGTTCCAAAGGGCTTCGGAGGAGTTTTCCTATTGGAATTGAATCATTCAAAACTCATACGGTCCATTTTGTCACTTTTATTATGAAAGAATTAACAATACTTTATGGACTAAGCTATTTAGTTTGGTATTTGATACTTAAGGACTTTTCAAAGTTTATATATAGACGTGTCTTAAATTCACATGGTGAAAGATAGAAATGTATTCCATTGACCCGTATAGTGTGTTTTTCTCTCGTTACTTATAGCAGATCGACGATATTCTTTGCATGAAAAGATACCTCCCCCTGTAATATATATATATCCATATGACCCAAGCATCCATACATGTTAACTTAATCTGTGTCTAAATTGTAATTATTAAAATAGATTTTAATCTCAAATCTACATGTTTTTCGTCTATCACATGCAAAGTAAAAACACTTTTATATATACTATATATATAGTGTATATTCTTTTATAAAAAAAAAATCGTTCACCATCGCTTGATGACGGAGGCCCATGTAACAGTGAACCCATACGGTCCGAGTCTCCGACTCTGCACACGACGTTCAGCTTCCTAATTTGACTCTCCCACGGAGGGAAACACACACTGTGGCTAACGGTGTCGCCTCGCCGCCTCGGGCCTAGGCCCTACTCGCAGAATTGGAGGATCGCCGTCTATTTATCGAACGCCTGCCTCTGCATATTTACGGTATAAGTTATATTATTGTTTAGCGTATTTAAATGATTCTCAGTCACACTTTTATTTGATACAGATATTTTTTTTTAAAGTTGATGAAAATGATATACTTAAGACATTCATGTCCCTTTGTAAGCGTCTAATAAACCGGTGAAAAATAGTATTATAAGTCTCTCGATTTTTTATGCCTATATTTGAACTATTTATATTGTATTTATCCAAATCCTTAAATTTATCGAATCATATTGTAAAATTTACAATTATTACCGAATTGTTAAAATGAATTTTCCAAACTGTATATAAAATTTTTTGAGCGGCGTACCCTAGACTAAATAGATTCGCTACTGATCACATGGCGGGACTTACATGTGCATGGGACGGTAGTGGATGGATGCGTGTCGGCGAGTCTTTCCCTCCAGCATTTCAAGTTCGTGACAAGATCAGTCCGCAAATGTTCGCTAGGTGCACCAAATACTTGCGACTTTAAAGCCTATATACTAGGGAACTGCGCCAATGGGCCTGCCCTTCTCTTTTGATGCGTCCGATAAGGCGATGAGGACGAGGGTCCTAAAAGTTAGAGGAGTTGGAGAGACCTGTTGGCCCATAGGACCTTCTCGGTGCAGGAGGACGAAACATTGACCGGAGTTATCTACTGCCAATGTGCTGGTTTAGGGAAGTGAGATGATGAAACAGTAGGATTGTATATGTAGAGAATAGAGATCCTAGTAGGATTTCGCAGCTGCTACGCAACGTTCCCAGGTCAGTTTTGTAAACCGGCGCGCCCAAGTGATTGCCAATTTGTCAGCCGATTCGGCGCTGCTCAAACGACAGTTCGATTTTGGAGGCAAAATAAAAGGCACGTATTCTGAAAAGCATTGCTGCTTTCCTCTCCGGCACCGGCACAGCCGCGGCGGCAATGCTTCACAGTTGAGAGCCGTAGCATAGCTACTGTGCGCGTGCTGCAGCGTGCTTTGATTGAACACTTGTAGGGCAGTTGAGATTCTGAGAAAGATAAAAACACTCCGGCCGGCATAAAAGCCAAAGGAACAACTCCACTAGTAGGCGCTAGGCAAGCCGAGACAACGGCAGCCGCTCGCGATCGCAGTCGCGGGCGTCAGTCGCCTTGTCACACCGCCAGCCTCCACACCAAGACCTCCTCCAGGCAGCCAGCCATGGCGCGCCGGACCAACCACACCTCCATGAACGCCACGGCAGCGGCGGCGTCAGCGACGACAATGATCGCCTCCTCGCCGTCTCCCCCGCGGCCGCCGCCTGCGCCTCCCGCTGGAGCCGGCGCGGGAGCGTGGGGCCCCTACGCCAGCTCCCGCGCCTTCTTCTCTAACGTGGCCACCATCCTCATCATCCTGGCCTGCGTCTCCCTGCTCGCCTTCTCCCTCCACGCCGCCGCGCGCTTCCTCCTCCGCTGCCTCGCGCGCCGCCGCGCCGCGCGGGAGCAGCAGGAGGAGGAGGAGGAGGCACAGGCGCATGCGCAGGAGCCCAAGCTCCCCTCCGGCGCCGCCGCCAGCGCCCGCGTGTGGGCGGAGGCGGAGTGCGCCATCTGCCTGTCCGAGCTGGAAGGCGGCGAGCGCGTCCGCGTGCTCCCGGCGTGCGGCCACGGGTTCCACGGCGCCTGCGTGGACGGGTGGCTTGCGGCGCGCGCGTCCTGCCCCACCTGCCGCGCGCCGTCCCGGCCGTCGCGGGCGGGAGAGCCATAGCGGCGCCCGCCCGGAGCCAGGTTGCTGCCGTGCCGTCGTCGGTGAGCTCTGCCTCTGGCACGTACGAGAAGCCACGGCGAGCGCCCACATTACTCTGGAGCAAGCTCTGCTCTCGTCCTCCATGGCTCCATGCCTCCCGGTCCATGGTGCTTGTTTCAATTTTTATGGCGTTGGTGTAGTATGTATGTAAATGCAAATTGAATGGTGGCTGCTAGTAGTTCGCAGAGAATTACACGGCTCGATCGTTTCTCTTCCATTATCATGGTTCATGTCAAGCCTGCGTCTCTTGAATTTGATTCTTAGTACTATTCTTGCAAGTCTGGAATCATGCACGCCGATTAGGCTGGTCATTGCAGTGCTGTGCTCAACACTGACACTGCATTGCATGCCATGCTGCGGATTCCCTGGAGACAGGAGCGTGAGTGACGACGAAAGCATGGAAAGATGACAAAAGCAGAGAATAGGCTACCGTCGTGTCGTCCCGTAGGCTGCCGCTGCGGGAATATTAGGGGGTGTTTGGTTACCAAATTTTTAATTTGACACTATGTAAAAAGAAGATTTTCCGAATATTAAATCAATTTTACTTGTAATTACACAGATGGAGTAATTAAATCTTTGACGCCTAATCAAAACTGATTTGCAATGCGGTGATTGTAAATATGCGCTAATGATGAATTAATTGAGCTTAATAGATTAGTCTCGTATTAGACAATTATTACCGAATACAATTAACTAAAATCCTACCGTCCGAACGCTACAGTTAGCCTGAATTTCACCTCCTTAGTGATTCATGCGGCAACTTTACGACCCAGAGATGTGGGCTTGGTTGGGTCCTGGCGCGGCAGGGAGCATCGGAGTCCGGCGGTGGTGTCGCAGGGGAGTCAGGCTTGGCCGCTTGGGCGGGGGGGCCCGCCGGTCCGGCCCCGCCCCGGCGTAGCAGCAGCCAGCAGCTCGCATCGGGCGCGGCGCTTATCACTGGCGCCAAGCACCACATCTGCAGCTCGTACAGACAGGACACTGTTGTTGTTGGACGGGACGGGGAAGCTTGGAACTCAACCGATTCCACTACTGTACTGGAGCTGCAAAGCAAAACTAGAGTACGAGTATGCTGCTTTGTCCCCATTCCCGTCCATTTCCTGAGCTTGAATTCCTCCTCCTGAGACCTTTTTTTTTTGCCTGTTCTGTCTGTGCTCTTTTCATTTCGATAGGAAACACCCCGTCCTGAGCTTGTGAAATCCTGGCAATCGCGCCGCGCGTTAGGCCCCTGTGCCGTTAGGCTGTCTCACCAAGCAGGAGACCCAAACCAAAATAGGTCTCCGACAGAATATCTATAGCCTTCAACAGAGTATTTATACTGGAAGACTCATTTTATGTATCAAGAGAGATATAACCTAAATCTGAATATCATCTCTCCTAGAGACCAATTTGTAAAAAGAGTTTTTCTTTTCTTGGAGAAGACTAAAAATAGATATTGAACTATTTACCTATAATGCTACCTAAACGTGAAATGAGTCTTGTATTTTGGATAAGGATTGACCAGGGCTGACAATGCCCTGGACTGGACAAAGTGGGAGTTGACGCGCGTCCAACAACGAGGCCCATACGGTAGATTGGGCCATGAGCGCGTTGTTTCAGTCCAATCGGTCCATGGACCAAACTCGACGGATTTGATTAAGGTGGGCTGGTGATAGAGGTGCGAAAAAACACGTTGAAGCAGGAAAAAAAACATGGAGTAGTTTTGTATAGTTAAAAGAAAAGTTAAAGGAGCAAAAAAAAAGTTTTCATAATCAAAAGTGCAAGTCGTGTTTCATGCTCGCCGGGGCGGCCTTGCCACAAGTCATCATCGACCTGTCTAGGTTCCTATCACCATTCACCACACGTCTACAGCTACGACGATGACAGTAGGAGTATCACCATAGCAGGATCGACTGTTTACTTCAGTATAAACGTCACGACAGTACGACAGACAGGTGCTGTACAGGCTGAAAAACAGCGTCCCAACTCCTCCCCGCTGTTTCGGTTCAACTTCAACCAGCTGTCATGTCTCACGTGCACGTCTTTGTTTAAATCCAGAGCGTAAAATTTTGACACGTCACATCAAGTGTTTTATGGGTGTCGTATAGGGTGTTCGGGTACCAATAAAACAACAAATTAAAGAAACCGTCGGTAATACACGAGACAAATTTATTAAGCATAATTAATCCATCACTAGCACATGCATTACTGTTTTTAATTATGCTTAATAAATTCATCTTACGGATTACTGACGGATTCTTTAATTTATTTTTTATTTGTATCCGAACACCGAATACGACACCCCCATGACACCCGATGTGATACCCTAAAACTTTACACGCTGGATAATGGTGAAAATTTGTTTAGCTTCGACCACCTAGCTTCATGTAGAGTTACTTGCATCTTGATTGTAAGGGAGAATTGTTGGCGCCCAAACGTTTGATGAGATATGATTCCATTGGATGGTACCGAACGACCTATCAGAAACACGTCGCACTCCCACCGTATCGATGTAGTCCTTTCTCGTCTGCCTCATCCTGCCCCGCACATGTGCCCCGCCCCCCTTCGCCTCGCCACGCCCCGTGCCCACCGTTCCTTACCCCTGACCCCATCCTCTCTCTTCGCACGGGCGGGACCCCAGGAGCCAGGATGAGGACAAGCACGCCCCATCCGCAGAACCCTAGGCGCGCCGCGCGCCCCATCTGCCGGTCCCACCTCACCACGCCCCTTCCCACGGCGCCCGAACCATGCCCCAATGACTCTCTGAACATACCTCTAAAATACGAAACACTTGCAACATGAAACACTTGAATGCAACATACGTCTGAAGGAGTTGAAACATTTGAAACATACACTTGCAACATATGTGTGAAACATATGCAACTTCTAGATAAAACACTTGCAACTTGCAACATGAAAACACTTATTGCAACGTAAGATTGAAACAACTGAAACATTTAGAACATACTCTTTGTGTGAAACATATGCAACATCCAGATAAAAATCGCCTACAACACTACATGTACTATTTCCATAGACAATGACTTTGCAGCGGAGCCCTTGTATCTTTTCACCTTTGCACCGGAGAGGTCCCCAAGACGCCCAACGCTCGTCGGGGCAGCAGACGGTGGTACTAGGCGGTACAACGGCCACTCGAGGCTCGCACCGACCCAACTAACGAGCGGAACCCCATCTACGACCCTAACGCCTACCCTAAGCGGCGATACGGAGCAACAGGGCGCACTGGAGCGAGATGCCACCGTGCGTGGTCGCCCTGATGGCACCGCGGTCATCTCGGTGAGCTACAACGCTAACAAAATGGTAGAGATAGGGGATAAGCGCCAGGGGCACACCGCGGACCCGGCCAAAGTGGTGGTTCGGCCGGCGACTACCTAAGTAGGGCTGGCCACGTGCGCATGACGAGCACGGCGATGAGCCACGGTGGACACAGCCACGTCAGCAGCGGCGGGGAGGCGGTAGCGCTCTCACTGGCATGCGCATGTTGGAGAGGGAGCCAAGGCGAGCTAGTGGTGTAGAGGAATTTACGCAGGGTGAAGTGGTGTAGCGCTCTCACTGGCCAAAATTGAGGCTCGACTGAGCCGTAATCAAAGCGGGGTGGGGGTGGCTAGAGAGGGGACATGGGGTAGAGGCGTGGACATGAGGGATTGATGAGAGGTGACCCCTCGCAACTGCGACGACGGTGTGATTCGACGGCGGTAGGGAGACGAGAACAGAGAGAGAGAGAGAGAGAGCGAGGGAGCGGTGGGGGAGGGGCAGCCAGCGACTTGGCAAGGGCGTGCCTTGGCGGACGTGGTTGGCATGACCAAAGACTGGTGGCGAGCACTAGCCGGCGATATATGCACACACACTCTGGGCGTGGCGTGGCTGCGCGCCGCAAAGGCCATCAATGGCAAGGAGAGATGACACGATACGCCACATGCGCCAGAAGCGCCAAGATGGGCCATGGCGCGCAGCAAGAATCGCCGGTGCATAGCATGGTGATGCGATGGTGGCGACAGCGGCGTCATCGTGGCGCAGGCACGGAGGCAGCAGCAGCACCAGCGGTAGCCACGGTGGTAGGGGCGATCGGGCGTAGAGCGGACTGGCGGCCTAGCGATGCGGCCAGAGCGGCCAAGCCATGGCAAGGCCACGACGGCCACGGCCATCTGGTGCACGGCCACGCACGCGCATGACACAACCACACGGCGACGTGGGTCGGCCACACATGGTGACCACGCGCACGGCGCCAGACAACACAAAGCGGTGACGTGCATGAATTTTAAAGCGCTGATCACGACCATATTGTTAGGGCTTATACTTATTTACATAATTTTATCGCATCTTACTTTTTGCAAAACTTTTGTTGGTCAAATTTTAGGTTTTGAAAAGAGTTATGAAACTCATAACTTATTATTGGCTCTGATACCACCTGTGGCAGAACCGCCCGAAATAACACACCTTTGGAGGCGTTCGTCTTCCACTAGACACTAAGCACCCCGAAAGTAAGCTACACCAGGCGGTTCCGTCGAGCACACCCTAAGGGAGAACTCGAACAATCCACGTTTTTCATCCAGAATCCAATAATGAGAATGAGTTTATAATACTTAGTCCATTTCATACAATAAGAGTTCTCGAAAATACATTATTACAATACCAAGTTCAGAATGCGGAATTTAAACAGCGGAATTGAAATAAACATATAACGAGAAGATACAAGGATTCATCTGTGACCACCAGAAGAATCCTCCACGCAACAACCACTCCTCAAGCTACACCTGCAACAGAGGTAAATAAACCCTGAGTACACAATGTTCTCGCAAGACTTACCCGACTAGTGGGAATAATTTCTCGACTCCAAAGGATATGATAAGCTTTATGGTTTGCTAGGTTTCCTTTTTGCGAAAAACATTACTAGTAATGAATCCATATGTATGTGTTTTATTAGCAGCCATGATTAGTTCATTAGCTAACCATTCTATGTAAGC